TAGATCGGATAAAATGGAGAAATAAGAATGAAGTTAGAGAATTAAGCTCAAGGAAACTTACTTGGATCTAAATGATTGAGCTCTTAAACTTGTATTCAAAGGAAGATTGAGATTTAGAGAAAAATTTCTGAGAAAAGAGGGTGAAAGGTCGGAGAGAATAGGGGAGAGATCAGGATTTTGGATTGTAATCCAAGTTTCCTAAGTTGAATGCCCTTAAATACCCCTTAACTCGCGATATTCTCGCTATAGCGAGCTCTTCTCCTACTGCAATGAAAAAACTTGACAAAATTTCTCTTTATTGTTTGTCATTCTAACTAAGCAAGAGCTCCTCGCTATAGAAAGAGAGCATCAGAATATCTGATTTTGGACATATATTTCTCACTACAATGAGAAATATCTCGCTACAGCAAGATATCTTACACCAAAAACTCATTTTTTTATATAAGGGCCACAAAATTAAGGATGTTACAAAAAGCAAGGAGGACACCTTCCCAAGGTAAGGGCAGAGATGCCTTCCTTCTCTCTATTCCCACACTCTTAACTTATCCTCCATCCCGAATTCTCACCATGGGGTATTTTTGTTCCTCGCCTATAATCTATACCATAAAATGTTTTTGTTATGTGTTTATATTTTCCATCTTTTAGTAGTTCTCCACATAGATCCCTAAACATGTCACAAGAAATTGATAAATTTTGAAAAAATATAAATGAAATAGAAAAAAAAAGAAACATACAATATATTTAAAATCATAAGTAATAAGTCTGTTACATCAAATTCATGTAAATACATAAAAATGGTTCAATTAACTTAAACTGAAATATGATAACATAAATTAAATACATCAAACTAAATTAGGAGTGTTTTTTTTTTTGTACGAGGGTGTGTGATCCTCAATCCTATTCCCAAATTACGGCATGGAGACTTTTATCCCCCCTCTTCCACGGAAGATTTTATTTTTTCAAGAAAAAAGTCTCAATAAGATAATATCTGTCACCATCTGATTTTAAAGTAAAATTTGTTATCTCAATAAATATATATTAATCTATAAAGAGATTATTTAAATAAAAATTAATAAATTTTATTAAAATTAAGTAGTACATTCTTTTATTGTATAAATTCAGTTTATACAAATTAAAATAATTGTATTTTATTATATGTTTCATTTATTTATATTTTAAAATAATATTATATTAAAAATCATATTTTAAGTTTTGGTTGTTATAAAAATTCAAATATGTTTCAATACAATTGTTAATTTAATTGACTTGTAATACGAAAACTTTATTCTCAAATTTTAGTTCTTTTATTAAGCGTTTTTATTATCCTATTTGATAAAATATTAAATTAAATAAATTTTGTTACATATTAATTTCATCAACACTAGTAAGCATATATTTATATCTAAATATTAAATACTAAAAACGATTTTTATTTATTTATTTGTTTTCTACTTAATATATATATAATTAAACAATAAATTTTCATTTTATTGAAAATAATAAAATTATTTAAAAATAAACATAATAAAAAATTGAATTGAATGGTGAAAATATAAAATGTTAAAAAATATACAATTGAATGAATGAAAAGCTAATAAAAGTCAATAAATATATAAAATAAAAACAATACAATAAAATTGAAAATTTTTAGAACAACTATACAATGATTTTAGTAGAATAAATACAATAACCTAATAAAAAAAACTGTAAATTGTGCTACCTTTTTATAAGGTATTTTTGGATTAATTAATCTGCTGTTGTGGGTTTAGACCAGTGGACTCTAGATAGCGAGATGTTTATTTTTCTCTTGAATGCGGGAACCACAATGGCTCTGTGTGATTGGCAAAGTTTGATTTTGCTAAAGTAAAAATAGTTTTAAAATATGAAAATGAAGAACAAAGTTGTGAATGCTACCTCAACCATAAATTGAATTAATAAAAAATAAAGACTAGCCAATTTACTTGCAATGATACACTTGGACTATTATGCTCCCCCATATATAAAATATATGATGATGAGTGGCGATAGATCAACGCGTAGATTATAGTTTTTCTCAGATTTATATAGCTATTTATAAAATTGAACCACTACCAAACATAATATCCATAAATTTATTAAATTCAACGTAGAAAACCTTCTTTGAATATTTCATTTGTTTAAATTTCAACATATCTTATACTTAATTTAGTCATAGACATTAATTTTATTCCTTTTGAAAAGGATATTCCGAGAGTAACGGGTCTATCATCAGTAAAATAACTAGAGCCCATCAAGTATATGATATAATGATTTTGATTGAGTATCATTGATTAGTTGTTGGTTGTGTTTTCTTTTACCGTTGATAATAACAACGAAAAATTATATTTATAGAATCTTTCGTAAAGAGAAAAATAAATCATATTTATAGAATAAATTTTTATTTTAGTTTTTAAAATTATAAGTGTTAATTGCTTTAATATCTATAGATATATTTTTATATTAATTATTATACAAATTAATAATTCTTATATATATTACAATCCTTAATTGGATGACAATAGATTTTTTACATGATTACTATATTTAAATTAAATTTTAGTACTAATATTTTTAAAAATTAAAATTTTAATGAATATTAATATTTAAGGCTTTTTGAATACGCAGATAAACTGATAAGAGTTATCAAGTTTAATTTCCAGTCTCGAATTAGAGTTCTAACAATGCAAATAGATTAAATGCTGAAAAGGAGAATTTTATCACCCATTAGTGATCCTATTTGATTTGAATATGATTATCTTTATTAAAAAAAATATACATGTGGTCCAGAAAAAAAAAAAAAACACACACACACACACACACAATTGGCACTTGAATAAATATTAAAGATTTTTAATTACTATTAAATAAAAAAGTTTTCTGAATAAAATAATTGAGAAAATATTTTTTTTGCTTTTATTAAAAGTATATTTTATTATATAACAAATTTTAAAATAATATTATGTTTATAAATATTTGATTATACTAAAAATTAAATAAAAAGATAATTTTTTCTTTAAAATATATATTATAAGAAATTTAAATTCATATTAACTTAACAATAAATGCTTAATATAAACAAATTTCTTTAATATAACTAACTCTTTAAAATATTTTCATTTAAAAAAACTCTAATAATCCTCTATTTTAAAAATTTATATTCATAAATTATATATGAAATTTATTAAATATTCTATTATATAAAATAAATAAAATAAAAATATAAAATTAATATTAAATTAAAAAGTGAATTTAGAGAAAACTACTTGATACGTTGAAACAGAAAATAATTTATAAAAATATGTTTGTTTAATTATTTTCTTCAATTCAAATATCAAATATAAATTCCCTTGAGTTAGCATATAAAGTGAGAAATTATTTATTATTAATTTAAAGTTAAATATTTTATAAATATAACTAATTTAAATCACTAGTAATTCAACTTTTATTTACTTTCTTATTTTACATTATCCCCTTCATTCCTGTAGTGGGGTTAAATATAAAAAATTGATATTTACGTATTATAAAAAAATAAATGTCGATAATGATAAAAGAACAAAGATTTGAGACAGTGACATCCAACATTAAAAAGATGGGAAAGATTTGCACTTTCCATTCGCAACGAATTCTTAAGAAATACGACACGCAAATGGGCATGGAAACCATCATATCCTTTCGATTTTTCTTTCGGCAAACTGCATATCCAGTTTTCAAAATCTTACTCAAAGTTTAAGATTTAATTGTTTATCGCAACAAAGTAATCGATTAGGTTTCATTTTAACTTTATCCAATCACCAATAATTTTTTAAAATCTAAAATTAAAGATCTCAATAGCTTTGAAAAGATAGTTTTGTTAACATCATTTTTAAAGATAATTTTTGTTACAAAAACTCAAATTTTCTTATGTTTATTAAGTTTGAAATGATAAATAATATTTTTTTTCATATGTTTGATAAAAATATTTTATTTTTATTAGTTAAAATAAACCTTATACATATGTATTAAAATTGATTACACTACTGAAAATGACTATTATGAATTTATGTATAAGCAAAATTGCTTAAATAAAAAAGAGTTCACTCTACAGAGTTACAAACTTGAATTGTGCAGGACTAGAGTAGATTTTAAGATGGATGTTAACAAAATCCTAAACTTAAATACATCTAGTGATAATCATAAGAGAGCATGGATTAAACATTAATTAAGATGCATTTTACTCACAAAATTTAGCATAATTAATGAATAGTTAACTTCCTTAAACACGTGAATGACGTTCTATTTATAAATTGTGAGTATAAAATATACTTTAATAAAAGAAATAAATATATTTTAATAATCTCTACACTTCCAAAGAGATTAATTTGATGCGCACACAAACATAAGCAAGCATAACTGTATAAGTAATCAATAATAATGCTGCTAATAATACACACATTTTATATTTTTATTAATTTAATTAAAATGTATTGGCAGTGTAACAAATTTTTAAAATATTTATAATTATAAATTGTTATTTTTTATCATAAAAAATTATATTATTTTAAAAAATGAAATTAAAAGTATGAATTTCATTAGTGGCATTCAATGACATGTCTACATGTTATTTAATTGACGCATAATAATTATACAAACTATTAAGTCCATTAAATAGTGTGATATTAAAACTCACCAAAATTCAATTAAAGTAAAATTAATCCCAAATTAAAATTAACCCTTTTTTTTTTTTTTTGCTAAATTACAATTCTCGTGATATGGCCAAACAAGTATCAAGCATAGCAAGGTTAGCATCGTAAAATCCAAAATTCTCGGGTTTTGGCACAATCCACAATTCACAATTCTGTTTCACATAGTGATTTCTGGTCACATAGATTCAATCAAGAATAATAATAAAACGAAAACAGGGTCTACACGTTGCCACGTGTGAACCTCAATTTCACCATCCTAAGGTTGTGTACATAGTGAAGTTTCCCCTTCCGTGTGTCCCTATAACTCGGAAGGTCGTTAACACTTGCTTGCATTGTATCAAATCAAATCAACACAAAGCCAAAGCCAAAACCAAAATCAAACCAAAACCTTTTACTATTTCAGAGAACCAGATATGTCGGAGAGTGGCGGCGGAAACCGCCGTAGGGAACCGCTTCTGTCGTCGCCGGAGGAGGAGGCTGCAAACTCTTCTTGGAGACTCAATGTGAAGGAGTTTCGTTTACCAACCCAAACTAATGATCATCAACATAACTCTTCCTTCACTTTCCGTGGCCTTCTTCGCAAGCCCAGTGAGACATTCTCTCTCTCTCTCTCTCTCTATAATTTTTTTTTATTGGGTGATGTGTTGAATTTTGCAGACCCAGTAACCCATTTGTCATCCTTTTTCGTTTTTTCTGGACTTTTGAACGTTTAAAATTTCTGTTTTGTGTAACGGATATGGTTTGTTTTTGGCGGTGATGTGTTGAATGGTGTAGAAGTAGAACCATTGATAAGCCATTGTTTTTTATGCTTTTGATGGGTCTGTTTAACGAAGTTGCGTTGGTTTGTGTGCTTTTGTTCACTTTTTGCCACTTTTTATTCTGTTGATGTCTTAAGCCTCTATTTTGTGTTGTAGGTTTGTGTTGTTCTTTTTGGTCATGCATGTATTGATTGACTTCTCCTGATTTAATCTTTCCTTGATTGTTGAAACTTTAATTTAATGTCTCTGTTTTCTGCGATGGGCCTATTTTGTTCTTTTGTGGTGATGGTTTGTGTAAGCCGCAGTAGTCAGAGCAGTGGTGTTATTATTATCCTTAAAAAATATTGCTAATATTATCTTCTTTTAAAGATATTTTTTTAATGTACTTTTTATTATTGATTAATTTTAGAAAAAAGTTAAATCACTTCTTATCAGGTAATTTAATCACTTTTTACTTCACCAAAAAAATTAATCACTTTTTAAAAATTATTTTGAGTTTTTAAATAATAAATGTATTGAAAAACGTTTCAGAAGAGAATGCATTATTCGCATCACTTTGGTGTTCGGTGCTAGTATGTTAGTTAAATTTGGTATAATTCGATTTGTTTGATGAAAAGTGAATGAGAACCGATATTGATTATAAAGGTTGTGGCCTTTTTCTACTGTTTCTGAAGATACTCCATTTCTCATTTCATGAATAATTCCTTTCTTGTTAGAATCTCTTGTACATGTTCTGATAACGTTTAAATTTTAAAATTTTTAATTTTTAAAAGTTGGTGATTTGAAAATTTTGTCATTGGTGTTTATTCATAAACTTGAGGAATTCATAAAGAAAAACATAATTTAAGCATTCAGGATTAAAACTCGTCTTCAACATTTATCAGATTGATTGCACACATGGGATAGTGCTCGAGTCTAGCTTATGAACTAGTTGCCATTTCCATTGTATGCTATGTAAGACTGCCATTCAACTTCAACATGTTTATCACTTACATCCATCATGCGTGGCTTCATTATACTAGTTTCTGAAGGGGTTTGGTTTTGTTAGGAAATTTTTTGTATGTTTCTGAAATGTGGCTTTGCCTGCTTACACTATAATCCCATTGTTAACTTGTGTTTTAGGGAAGCAACGCAAGGTGGCGGAATATTACAAGAAACAGGAGAGGCTGCTGGAAGGATTTAGTGAGATGGAGACTGTGACTGAAACGGGTGGTTTCCCTGGAAGTCTCACTGAGGTTTATTGTTCTTTTACCATGGTTTACTTATTTTGTCATAAATGGAGTAGCACTAACAAGTTTTGACCACAATCTCAGTGAAAATTTATGATTTCCCTTTAAAATTGATCATCTCAATCTTGAACACATGCAGATGAATGATTTGTTTAAATTTGTTAAGAGAATTCTACTAGTGAGATACAACGTTGTGTGATTCATATAGTCAATTTCAATTAGTAGGATAGAATTTTGCTGTTGTTGTTTAAAAGACAGTTCTACTAAATAAATGTGCTCAATGTTTCTCAGGAGGAAATGAAGCAACTAGCTAAGAGTGAGAGGATGGCAGTTCGTGTGTCAAATATATGTAACTTGGTGCTGTTTGTAGCAAAGGTTTACGCCTCAGTTGCAAGCAGATCGTTAGCAGTTATTGCCTCAACTATGGATTCTCTCTTGGATCTCTTGTCAGGGTTCATATTGTGGTTTACTGCTCATGCAATGAAAAACCCAAATCAATATCACTATCCAATTGGAAAGAAACGCATGCAACCATTGGTAAGACTTAATTTAAACCGTGCAAGGGGATTGAGTCCTATAAAGTTTTAGTAAATGCATTATATCAATATAGTTTCATAATGTCCTAAGAATGAAACTGACAAAATTAGTTATTTAATAAACTTTCAAAATAACCATTTTTTAGTATTTAAATACCGATCATAATTCCTATGCAGGGTATCATTGTTTTTGCATCTGTGATGGCAACCTTGGGGTTGCAGATTTTGATTGAGTCTGCCAGGGAACTAATTTCCAAGGTAAATTGAGATCAACTTCTGTTTTTGTTTGTTCACTAAATCCTTGAATTTGGATTTAGTCATTTGTTTGAGGTGGATCAGTGTTAACACTTTCAGATTTTCCTTTAACTGTTACAATGACACATTTGTTTAATTTCTCATATGATTCTTTATCTTACAGACTAAGCCTGAAGTGGATTCAACAAAACTGCATTGGATGATTGCGATTATGGTATTTGTGACTGTAGTGAAGTTCATTCTGATGGTCTACTGTCGACGATTTAAAAATGAAATCGTCGGAGCATATGCACAAGATCACTTTTTTGATGTCATTACTAATTCAGTTGGATTAGCTGCTGCTGTGCTAGCTGTCAAGTTCTACTGGTGGATTGATCCAGTAGGAGCTATTGTTGTGAGTTCATATCCACCATTTATTTTCTTCTCATTTCTCATTGTGCTTCCTCTATAATTTTCTTGTTAGTTTAATATATTAAGCAAGGATTAAATACTCATTTTAGTTCTTCAAATTGTGAGCGTCATCACTTTAATTCCTGGTTTTATAAAAACCTCACCTGTATGCCACTTCAAAATCTAGAAGGGTGTTTATTTGTTGCATGATTGTTTGCTTGTTCACTCCTTGATTGGTATACGAAAGTGTTAATGATGATATATCCTGAATGTGTAATGCAGATAGCATTGTACACAATCAACACATGGGCTAAGACAGTGATTGAGAATGTTTGGTCACTCATTGGAAGGACAGCACCACCTGATTTTCTGGCTAAGTTAACTTACCTTATATGGAATCACCATGAGCAGATTAAGCACATAGATACGGTTAGAGCATACACATTTGGTGCACATTACTTTGTGGAAGTTGACATTGTGTTGCCAGAAGACATGCTTCTTCACCAAGCTCATAATATTGGAGAGACTCTCCAAGAGAAGCTGGAGCAACTTCCAGAAGTTGAGAGGGCTTTTGTTCACATAGATTTTGAGTTCACTCACAGGCCAGAGCACAAGACCATGGTATGAAATTGGTGGCGTGGCCTAGCTTTGCTAATTCTCTTTGGTTATTTTATTTGAGCCAAATAACACAATTTTGCTTTCTTATGTTAAATAGTTGCTAATACCTCGTCATACTTTCTATCTTAGTGGATTTGAAATAATTTTAAAATGTTATTTTTAACTTTACATTTTTTATGGCCTATCCCTTGCTCCTACTTTTATGGTTAATATTAATTTGAATTAATGTGCTTCTAAATCTTAATTTTAAAAGTTATATATATAAAAGCTTTTGGTTGGCGCATAAAAATGGTTGAAGATTTCATTCAAAACCAAATTTCATGGAAGTGTACCCTTTAGTCACGTCAACACTTTTTTTTCTGGGTGAGGATCACGTCAACTTCTATGCAATCAGGGGCATATTGGATGTTTCGTATACCGTATCAAGGTTTCATCGATTGATACCAATAGCTTTAGGTAAGGGAAAAATATTCTTTTAGGCTATTTGAATTTTTTACCGGTATTTAATAACATATAATAAAATTTTCTATATAATAATTTTGTTAAAAGATATAAAATATTATAAATTTAATATAATGATAATATTAAATATTATAAATTTTAATAAAAAATCATATATTATATACTCATATATAATAATAATAATAATAATAATAACTTTTAACTATTACAATGAGATGAAATCTTTTTTTTTATAAGAGTGATGTAATTTGGATTACTTATATAAAACATTTAAAACAAAATAAAAAATAAAGCAATGATATATAATATCATTTATTAAAATGATTAAAATAATAAAAATGTGTAGGTAATCCGCGTGGAATATGAGGTATGATGACTATATGTATATATATAAGTCAATGACCTTCATAAAAGACACACGACAAATGCAAAGAGAGAATATGTATCATGACTACTACAGCTTAGATGATGATCGTGTCACCCGAATCAAACTTTTTGTTCTTTCGGTTTGAGTCTCATTCACTCTTTAATTTTATCTAAATTTAAGAATATTTGTTTTTTATGATTAAAATTTATTTATGTGGAATATTTGATTAGTTTATTTATTTTTTAATTATCTAAATCTATAATAGTTTAGTTATGAGTATTTTATTGGTAATAGCAGGAGTAGGGTAAGGAATTATGTTTTGAGAAAGATGTTGAAATTTGAATAAATTACGTGAAAGGTGTATAACATATATTTTTCTTAAAAGATGAATATAGTTTATTTTGAATTTTCCAGTGTAAACAATTTTTCAATAGTTGTGAATCATGTTTTCTCAATTTTTAGTGTCACAATAAATCAATTTTGAATGCCTTATTATTGGTCTTTTGTATTTTAGAAGGTGAAATAAAAATTTAAATACCTTTATTATCAGCTTAAAAAATTTATCTAAAATTTTAATTTTATTTTTATGATCATAAAATTAATAAAAAAGTTTAAAAACCAGACATTAATCATATATTGAAAATTATTGCATGAAAAAAATTAAAATAAATGTTTGTTTTAAAATGAACTCAAATGCAAGAGAAAGTCATATTAAGATTTTTGGAGAAAAAAATTGTATATTTTAAAATAATAGCATAAGGAAGTGTGATTGAAATATTGTTTAATAAAAGTATAAAAATTTAGTAAAAAATTATAAAGTTAAAGTGAAGTTTCGATTTGATGTTTTAGTTTTTTTTTTATTATTAAATTTAGTACTTTAAGTTTTATTTCAACTCTTTATTTGTTATTTATTTAATTTGATCTTCTAATATTTTTTTTATCGTAGAGTAATCCTTTAACTTTGTTCTTTCTTTTAACTTAACCAAAGTTTTAAAATAATGTTTTAGACAAGAGTTTTATCTTATTTTACAAAATTTTAATGCATTTTACTATTAAATTGCAATTACAAATCTCTTTAATTTTTTCGTTATAATAAACTTTCCATTTATATATACATATTTTTCCATTAGAAATATTTAACAATCGGCATTAATCCATTATTATTCATCAAATCTCATACATTTATGATTTTCATTGTCAATCATCTAGATTTTAAACTCATATTTACATCAAATATCAAAACATCCTTCAAATCGTTAAATATTTAAAGACGGAGAAAAACGCAAAAAGATAATTTAGAGAACTAAATTGAACTAAAATAATGTCAAAAGAATGAAGTAAAAATTAAACCACATTTAAAGAATGAAATAAAAACTTTTTTAAATTTAGAGTACAAAAAGTAAAATTTAAGCATCTTTTGTAACACCCTACTGAATTTAGTTTATGATTAAATCATAATTACTAAATACAGTAGTTGCATTACAGTAATAAAAATTTTGTTTATTTCGCTCATTCATTTCGTATTGATTTAATAATAATTATCAGATGTATAAAAAAGCGAGACGTTATAATAACAAAAATAAAAGAAAATTGAATATGGAATAACCTAGATAAACATAATAATTAATTTAACTCATACATTTTACAGAAAGATAACTATACATATTTATATATATAGGACACTATGTTATTTACATATAATCAAGAATACATATAAGGACCACTACATACAAAAAGATTCAGTGGCTCAATGTCATCAAAGTACAGTCCTAACAAGTTCTCACCGGATAATTTAGAACCAAGATTAGTGTCCTACAACTACTATCGTGGCCCACTGCACATCCGAGAACTCAATGTAGATCATTGTTGTTGCGTTCATCATGCAGATCTGAGAATGAAACGAAAACTAAGTAGGATGAGAATTTTAAAAATTCTCAATAGGGCTGTGTATTTCTATGTAACATCGCTTTCATTCTCAGTTGCTTCGATTTTTATTTAAATAAAAGGTTGTTAAACCAATAAGAAAATTTTTCAATTATGATTATTGAAAACATGACCCGAAGTAAAGTAAATTTTATGTCTAACAGTTGTAATATACAAGATCATAATGATTATGATACACATATACAAGAAATTAAATAAATAATTAAAGGACTCAACATGAATCATACATGTGACATAACAATACTTAAAGTTGTAATTGAAAGCAACATTGAAATATATTAATATTAATTAAAATACTTTCAATTACATAATAAGGTACTTAATTCTCATATATGTTCCTATCCTTGGTCCCCTAAGAGTTCTTGGCCATAAAACTCATAGGTAATAGTCTGCTTATTAGGATCGAGCTCGTTCCTATATAGGATTTGTCAGGTTTACTTTCCCCAACACTCTCACAGACTTATTCCCCTTAACTTTTTATCCAGAGCTGTCCCAAGTGATATAAGACTTTCTTATAACTTTCAATCATCTTAAACTTTCATAACTTTCATAATGTATCTCACATATCTCTTTAAAATTATACAATTTATCCATAATTCTTACAAAATATGTGTAGCATAACAGATCATATTTGCTTTTCCATAAATAGTGCCAACTCACAATTTGACATTCACAAATATCATAGCAAATAAATAAATAAATAAGTAAATAATTAAATGAAACCTTAAAATTCATGATCCTTTCCTTAAAAGGATAAATTTTTCATTATTTTATTTTTACTACGTTAATTGCTATATAACTTCAATAGACTTGAATTTTTTATATATTGAAGCCATGTTTGTCTATTTCTAACCTAATTGGTCCCATTCAGTTTTGACAACTACAGCTCAAGATTTTTGCTTTCTACTATGACCTGTCCTGTGATTAGCCAAAATAGCACTCAAAAATGTTAAAATCTACCAAAATTCGAATTCTAAGTGTATGACTGTGAAATTCATGTAATTTTAAAGTTAAGAAATCAAAATTTAATATCCAGAAAGTTTTATTTCATTTGGTCAAATAGAATTCAAGTTATAAGGTTCTAAAGTTGGTTATTATAGGTTGCTCTGTTTTTTACTCAATAGCACTAGGGGTAACTTCAGAAAAATTCTGGGAACTTGTCAAAATGAATTGGACCGTGAAATTTTTATGGTATAAACTAATATATCTTAGCTTTTTAAAAAATTTTGTTTCACTTTAATCCAAGTTATGTGGAACGAGTTATGTCTTACGCAAGCTTAACTGCCCAAAATCAAAATCTGAAACTTAACCCAAACTTCAAAAATTCATAACTAATTCTATACTAATCCAATTGCTTAATAATTTATATGTATAGAAAGCTCTGAATGTCTAGTTTAAGTTAAAAATATTTTAATAATATTTAAACTGTAAATAATTGGTTAACATAGTGTATTTGTACGGGAACCCTAGAAAATTCTATTTTCAGACTTGCTGTTTTCTTTCTCTTCTTTGTTTTTTTACTTGATCTACCTTCAAACTAATCCAAACCACCATAAATCCAACTATACATCATAAAAAAAATACCACATATATCATGTATTAAAAGATTTAAAACATAAAATAGATGGGCACACACATCCATATAAACATATCAATATAGATAGAACCATACCTCCTTTGAGCACCAATTTGATTCCAAAGATATTTCTAAGTTGCAAGTGTAGGTGAGCTTGATAGAAAAGCTTATGGAGGTAAGAAAAGGAGAAAGATGGAGAAGAGAACAAGGGAGAGAAGTGATGAATTTATAAAGAGATAAGGGAAAGTAAAATATCTAAGTAGTCATGATGAATGAAGTTACTTGATAAATTTTGATTGGTTCATAAATTTTGTGGTTTCACATGAGCTATAAGGTGGATTATGAACCATTGGATCAAGGTGTAATAGATGATTTTTCTACCGTTAGATCTAGGACAAATAATATTATTTTATTTTAATAATTTAAATTACTGAAACTATACCGGTCTTTCTATTAAGAAGAAATTCTACTATAAATTTTTAATTCTAGTCTATCTAATTAATATAGATTTGAATTCTAATAAATATTTAATTAATCTCTTATTAACTTTATTCATGTAAATTAATTGAGAAAATTAATTAATAACATAAAACAGACATTTAAAATTTTAAACGTTACATCTTTCATAATATAAACTGTATTTTAGAAGTGTAGAATCCTTATTTTCAAATATTTTTAACAATAAAGTTTACTAACATACTAGCACATAATTAAATCCTTAAATGACACTTATACATAAAGATTGGATTTATCTTTTTTTTTTCAATAAATATTAAGAATAAATAGATTAAAAAATAAATTCCATATTTAACGAGCACATAAATTAAATAATAAAAAATATTCCAACTTAATAAGTTATTTTAAATTTGAAAATATAACTA